CATAATATCTCATAACACATAATGTAAGGGTATTTTGGGAAATCACCGTTCGGGCGCTGGCTGATCGTACACACTGCTCTGCTCTGCTCTTTTCAAAATCTTTTTACTCTTTTAGAAAAATTTTGTTTTATTTCGAAAAATTCCTCAAATCCTCAGTTTGACTTCAAATACGCTCGAAGGTGCATCCGAATCCCTCAAACCAAGGCTCTGATACCAACTTGTAACACCGTAATTTTTCAAACAATTTTTCACTTTTTAAAATATAATTTCATTCACAAATACTCTCAAATCTCAATGTATCACATCTCAAATCCATAAAAAACACATCCCAAGATCAAAGTGTATAAAACTCCAATAGTGTGTACTGATCATGCCGGCGCCTTCCCGCGATCCTCACTGGTACCTGAAACACATAACACAAAACACTGTAAGCATAAATGCTTAGTGAATTCCCCAAAATACCACATATAACACATATTAGCCACTCGAGGCTATAACTCTGTGGACCCACTGGCCCTAACTCTTTGGACCCTCTGGTCCTAACTCTGTAAACTCTGGAATACACACAGCATAAATCACATAGAAATAATGCAGTGCAACACATCACATACATAGCATACAAGATACTCTGTCACATAACTCTACTTACCACTCAAAGTAAAGTATAGTGAGAAGACTCACCTCGGGTAACTCGGTAAATCTCGAACTCGGTAAAATCTGGTCTAGCCCCCCGCCTAATCACATGGAATAAGCACTCTAATCAATACAACCCTCAAGGCTAGACTAATCCCTCTCTTAGTACTCTTAGAAGGGTAAAAGACCATTTTACCCCTCTCATGGCCCAAAGACCCTAACATTGACCAAACCCTAAAAGTCAACAAAAGTCAACGGTGAACTTTGACCAAACTCGCCGAGTGCACTCGTGTGACTCGGCGAGTACATGCATGTCTTCTTCGCCCCTGGTCCTCACTCGACTCGCTGAGTCAACCCTACACTCAACGGGTTGTCACCGGTCGCGAGTCGCGGGGCAACCCGACTCGACTCGTCGAGTCCCTTATGGACTTGGCGAGTCCCTCCCATGAAAACACTCAAAAGATCCTTTGAGGTCAGAACTGCTTCACCAACCAGTAGATCCAACCTTCTAACACTCGAAAGTCACGTAAAGGTTCAAACTTTACGTTCATGCAATGCTTATAAGACCAAAAATGGAGAAATAACCTTTTAAATGGGGTTTTACTCTCAAGGCTCACATGAAAGCTCATAAAGCTGGAAGCTTGGGACCTTTTGGACCTCTCAAGGTCCAGATCTATCATCTATACCCAAAGGGACCTCATATGCTTCACAATCTAACTCAAAATTGTGCAAAGGAAACCCTAGATTCAAGGAATCTATCAAATACACGAAATGGGAAGGAACTTGTACCTCAAAACGTGAATCTCAGTGTGAACAACACAGATCCAAGCTCCACAATCAGCCTAGCTTGTTCTACTTCCTTCCTTCTTGCTAAAACACACAAGAAATGGTGAGTTAGCCTTCCTCTTGCACCACAACGATCTCTCTGCTCTCTAGGGTTTCTCAGGGGTGAAGTGGCCGTAAATGGAGGCCATAAAGGCCTTTAAAAAGGGCTCAGGCCCTGAGATTTAGGGTTTCACTTTACAGCGCGGACTCGCCGAGTCCACGCATCGACTCGTCGAGTCCCTCATTAATCCAGACAAGAATTCGCGATCCTACTCGGTGAGTCTGAGCGCCTACTCGCCGAGTCCCTCCCTAAAACTCAAGGTAAATACTTAAAATAAGATACATGGGAATCCGGATGTTACACTTTATCCATTTAAACATTATGTTGATTCAGATCTGAAGGTTGGAGACTTGGACTTAATGGATTTACCTGAGAAAGATACATTCTTCGTCCTGTTCAGACTTAAAGACTAGATCTTGGTTGTTTGGACCATCCTAATGGATAAAGTTGGAAACTTTATCCATTATGAAGCTATTTAGGAACTAGACCTGAGGTTATAGGCCTTGGTCTGAACAAATTAAGCACTTAATAAAGATTTTGGCCTTCTGACCAGAAGTCACGACATGACATAGGATGTGTCACGACGTGACAGTGTCTAGAATCGTGATTGTTTGTCGTTACATTCTCACGGCGTGACCAAAGAATGGTCACAACGTGACGTTGACTTTGTCTAAGCTGACTGTTGACCTTGTTAACTTTGACCTTCGACCAAGGTTTTGACCAAAGGGTATTTTGGACAATAGTTTGAGACAAGGCCACTGTTTGTTGTACAAGTGACTTGAGAGTTGGTATATAGAATCGTGTTGTGTTCAACTATCCTTTCAGACCGAGAGGTGAGTTTTCCTCACTGTACTTGTGGGTCGAAGACACCAATTCCGGCCCACTAGGTTATGTATCCTGGTATAGAGGATGTTGCTATGTTGTAGTGATTTGTTAAGATATGTGTCTTGGTATATAAGATGTTGCTATGCGGTAGTGATTTGTAGATTTTCCTGTTTATCTGTTGACTGGTTATATGATTATATGTTTGCTGGATATATGTTATATGTATGTATATGTCGACATACTATGGTTGGGTTGAGGCAATGTTGCTTTGTGCGGAAGCCAACAAACCCGTGAGCAAGCCAGACATAAGCTGTGGGCTAGAAAGGCAAGCCAGACTTATGCTGTCGGCTCGGGAGCAAGCCAAACATAAGTTGTGTGCCAGTAAGGCAAGCCAGACTTATGCTGTGGGCTCGGGAGCAAGCCAGACATGAGTTGTGGTCTGGAAGGCAAGCCAGACTCATGTTGTGGGCTCGAGGGTAATCCAATCTGTTAGTTGTGGACCCAGTATGCATGTTGTTATATGTTTGTGTGGTGGTATTTTGGAGGAACTCACTAAGATTTATGCTTACAGTTTTAGTTTATTGTTTCAGGTGCTTCAGATAATCGTGGCAAGGCGAAGGCGTGATCATGCACATCCTTCGAATTTATGTTATTGGATTCTGGGACACTCTAATTTATGAATTATACTTTTGAAACAATGTTTTTGTAAACAATTATTGCCTTGGTGTTGTTTTGGAAAAATGATAATTTTACTCTGATTTTTGGGATGCTATAAATCGAATCTTGATGAGTATAATTCTTTCATGCATGAGTTTGTGGTCTTTTGGTGAAGTTGTGAATCTAGGGCTTTGGTTGGGGAACCATTAAGCTATGCAAAGTCATAAAGTCAGGAACTTTATGACTTAAGACGTCCCTTAGAGCTAGATATGGAAATTGGATGATGTGGTCTTAAACATTAAGAGCTTTTAAGCTGAGATTGGTCAGCAGGGCAGTACGTCGGGCGTATTGGGGAGGTACGCGGGGCGTACTCGCCAAGGTGTCATTATGGGCCATTTTTGGGCCAGGAATTGTTGGGTCATGTATGGGAAGGGTAAATTAGTCATTTACCCTTAGCATGATAGAATAAGAGTTGGACCTTTGGTTATTACCCTAATTATTGATTAGGGATGTTTTTAGATATATTTAGTGTGAAGAGCCGGGTAGCTGCAACCCGTGTGTGTTCCGGTTATCTCGATTTGAGGTGAGCCTCCTCAGTGTACCCGTGGGTCGAAGGCACCAATGCCGACCCACTAGGATATGTTATATAGGATGTTAGCTGTCTTTGTGACTCTTGCATTGTGTGATGGGCTGAGCTCAACGACATACATGTACGGCTGGGCCTAACTACATGAGAGGGTTGAGCCCATTATATGTTAGTCTAGACTCATTGTATGACGGGATAGGCATAATTATATGTTGGACTTATTAGGAAGGAATAAACCCATTATTATGGGCTAAGCCCAATGATATGTATGATATTTGATATTTTGGAGAAAACTCACTAAGCTTTGTACTTACGGTTTCATGTTTATGGTTTCAAGTACTTCTAGTTCGAAAGGGAAGACCCGGCGTGACTACACAACATCCCCATAGTTTATTCCGCATTTGAATAGTCGTGATTTTTACTCTGATGTTTAAATACTATTTTTCACATTGAATGTTTTTAGATATAAAATGTTATATGAATTAAGGAATGACTGTGGTATTTGCATAATTGCATGGCATACACCGTCTCATGGTGGTGGCATGCCAAGCTTTTTTGCAGTATTTTAAAAACCGGTTCGAACCGGCCGGTTGAACCGGTCGAACCGGGAACCGGAGGTGAGGACGGTTCGATTTGGACTGGTTTTATAATGATTTCCTGACCGGATTGAACCGACCGGTTTTGGTAAAAAAACCGGTTCAACCGGTTGAATTGAACCGGAATGGAACGGGTTGAACCGGACAGTCTTGAATTTTTGTGTTTGTTTTGGGCTTCTTTGTTTGATTTTGGCTTCTATAATAATTGTTTTTATATGTTACATTCTATTTACGTTTGTAATACTAAAAAGATGACAAGTTTTGTAATCAATGTATGCAGGATAATTAAAAACATATAAAAATATAGAACCGGTTTGACCATCCGGTTGAACCGGTCAAACCGGAAAACGTCACCCGACCGGTTCAATTAAAAAACCGGTTTTTAAAACATTGCCTTTTTACTACAAATGACATTTAAATGACGAGGTGAGAGAGGAGAGAGAATATGTATGTGACTGTATATTTATTGTTTTATATTTTTTTTGTTCTTATATTTTTTTTGATGTAACACCGTGAGATAAAAAGACTAGAGAAAAGAAAATCAACATGAGAGTATTTATTTATAGCCGGACAAACCGATTATTCTGGGTGCGTAACCTTGCATCCCTTTAGTAAAAGGAACCGGAAAGATTCATTTCCCCTTTTTACTTTCCCTTGTTCTTATCTCCAAAGAACCCTCACACCTTTCAACTTACTTCCCACGTGTCTACCTATAATAGGAGTCCTGTCTACAGCCTCCATGCTCCCTTCCGCACTGGATCTGAACTCCATATAAATTATTAAATTTCGCCCCACGTCAATCCACTATAAATGAAACCAACTTTCTAATTCCAATAGAAACTTATCCCGGAAAACGAAATCACTCCCAACTTCCTAGATCAAACACACGCTCACACTCACAGTCGGTGTGTTTTCAGGTGATCAAGGAAGCATGGGGTCATGGAATTCAACAGAAATGGAGGTTTTATCCAGTGTATTGGGATGGATTGCATTCTGTGCTTGGTCTATCAGCTTCTATCCACAAGTCATATTGAATTTCAAAAGGAAAAGGTAAGTGTTCGATTGAAATTGAGTTTATATGATCTATTTATGCTACTTCAATGTATTTTCCAACTTAGTACACTGCTATGTGCTGAATTAATTTCTCCGAATTGGACTGAAACCTGCAGTGTGATAGGTCTGAATTTTGATTTCGTGGTGCTGAATCTGACTAAGCATTCGTCTTATCTGATATACAACGCCTCCGTCTTCTTTAGCTCAGCGGTTCAACGTCAGTATCGCCAGAAATATGGGCTCGATGAGGTTTTATCTGTCACTACTACATTTGTATTTCCATTTTCCATACACAGATGTTTAAGAGCAAGGTCATGTAGACATGTCGCTTATAGAATTGTGTTTTCAAATTGAATTCATGTCCGTTGAGATGGAAAGTAAAATATCCTTTCTAAAAAATTGAAATTCCTTACATTAATTAGATCAATATTGAAGGATCCAGATTTCATTCAACTTACATTGAACACAGAATACAATAAAAACGTAAAAGTTTTCAAATCTTTGTAAAAGTTGAAATTTAAGCCTCGAACATGAATTTGGGCATCACAGTAGATGAAAGATCATATCAAATGAGTTACGTTGTTGATGTATGTTTGCCTGATGCATTTGCAGATGATACCTGTAGCCGCAAATGATGTTGCTTTCTCCATTCATGCAGTTGTTCTAACTGCATTTACCTTATTCCAGATAGGCATCTATGATGTAAGTATCTACAATGATCAACAATCACATCTGATTTGAAGTGTTGATGAATAGTCAAAGATGATGCGTTGATTCCTTCAACAGTTCAACTACTGTCGTATCATTATCATACACTAAAAGACCCTAGCTAATTATTGTATTTTTTGCAGCGTGGAGGTCAGAAGGTCTCCAAGACTAGTATTTTAATACTCTCAGTAGCCTGGTTAACTGTTATCATCTGCGTGTTCATAGCTATACCTAGTCATTCATGGCTTTGGTTGGTGTCTTGCTTTAGGTAACTTGTTTCATTCTATTTCTAATTATCATCAAACCTAATTTACCCAAATTTATTGGGGTTATATAAATAAAGCTTGTTCAACTTGTGAATTGCAGCACATTACAGGTTGTCATGACAGTGATCAAGTACATACCCCAAGTAAGGAGTGTTCTTAATTAGCTTGATTTTAATACATGGGTTGAGATTGTTTTTTATATAAATTGTATGAATTTAGGCAGTTATGAACTTCCAAAGAAAGAGTACAGTTGGGTTTAGCATTGGGAACATTTTGCTTGATCTGGTTGGAGGATTAGCAAATTATGGGCAAATGACTGTCCAATCTATAGATCAACGTATGTTATCTTTTAATGCAAATTTCAGAGTAAAAAAGTTAAGGAGCATATATATACCCTAAAACATATTCTTCCCTTTTACTTGTATTTCTCAGATTCATGGGTAAACTTTTATGGGAATATAGGCAAGACATTGCTTTCTTTGGTATGTCACTTTCTCTTTATCAATTTTACTCTCAAAATATTATTTCTTAAAAGAAAAGGGGATTTTCTTTATGATATGCAGGTGTCTATTTTCTTTGACATCGTGTTTATCTTGCAACATTATGTGATTTACCCTGCCCACAAGATTGTGAAATCTGAAAGTCCAGGCATGGTAAGTCAGGAGCCACTTGTTACATCTAATGAAGACGCATGAAGTTTTGTTTCAATTTGGCTATAATTTTCAGCTTCTTTTTGATTTTTTTTGTAAAAAAAAAAAAATGCTGATTTGCAGTTCTGTAATTTGTATATAATATATCTCATGGTTCTTACTTCATAGAAGCTAACTTAAAGGTTCTATTTACAAAATGTTGTGTATCGAAAATGTTTATCTGATGGTTATATGATCCGTTTACAGGATAATGTATAAGCAGACTATTGAAGCTTGTAAAAAGCTTCAAATATGCCATCCATGTATGGACATATGATGATCTTTATCCCCATTGGTTCCATCCTAAATTTACTAGTTTTTTAGTGAATAGTATTAAAAAATTTAGGTTAGTTTTGTAATATTTAAAGACTTGGTTTGTCGATAATCCAGAAAATACGGAAAAGGCCGCCCTCAATGTAGTTTGTGTGTGTGGTGTGTGAAGACGGAAAAGAAACAAATGAGTATGACCAAAAGCAACACGCTTCCTTACAAAGTGTAAATCTAACATGTTTAGTGTGTTGATTTTAAACATAATTAGAAGATAAGTATATGGCACTGGTATTATCTTAAAATACAATGTGCAAGACACATGGCACAATAAAGTTCAAGAAGAAGGTTGCAAAGCCAAGCAGTCACAGCAACGGCATTATCTATGCCTCGGTGCAGCACTCTCCAAGAGACAAATTTTGTCACCTAAAAAGACACAATACCTTGAAGTAGATTAACTAATCATAGGGCATCCCGCCTAGGCTGCATAAGTGTAAGACACCAGACGTACCATTAAATATGGACGAATTAGAAGCCCATAAGAGAGTACCCCGAAGATAGCTAAGGATATGGTTCAACGTATTCATTTGGATTGTGTATATAGAGGCAAAGTTGGTGGAGAGCATAATATTAGTGACTAAGATCCCAATAGAGCCCAATGGGGCTATATTAAAGGGTCGTGATAAGGTACATGTTTACAAGCATAGGATATCTCGGAAGAGGGATTAGACGATGAATGTGACTGAGAACCCAATGGCTTGTATGTATAAAAGCAGAAGAACAATGTTTTAAAACCCGGTTTTTAGTTGACCCGGTGTGATGACCGGTTCATGGGTCAACCGGTCCAACCGGTTTAGGGTATTTTAATAAATAAAAAAGAAAGGATGAACCATTTATGTAAAACCACATTGCAGTAGCTAAATCAACATCGTGTAACTTTGTCTTGCTTTGCATAGCGGATTTGATAGTGGGTTGGGAAGAATCATTTATGTTTTTTTGACAAGAAAGGATGAACAGGTGGCATAGCTTTCCTTTTTCCCTGTTTAGTAGATCGTGCCTTGACATTCCGTATTTGTGCTTCTTCCATCTCTTCATCATCATCTGATATAGTAAGAGTATTTGTGTGTTTATCTTTTTGGGCATGTTCTATCAAGTTCCCTTTAATAGTAAAACGCACTTCAGGAGGCACTTTTAGACATGATACTACTTCACCCTTAATACCAGCAAGATGCTTCTTGAATCTGTTTATTCCACCACCACCGATCATTTTTTGACAAAAGTTACATATGCATGCTTTTTTCCCCTCTCATCAATTACCACTGTTGCATAATCCCACCCTATATCTGTCTTTGTCCGTACATTTGTATGAGCCGAAGAATTGGATGGAGTTTGTGATTGTTGTTGTGATCCAGAAGCCATATTTAACTGTTTGAAAATGAAAAAAGTCTGATGTCAATTTTTCCAATACTCAAAATCAAACATAATCAAGTTCAATTTCAAACAGAAGTTACAGATAGTCTGATGTCAAAAGTTTTCTAATGTCAACATTCAATTTTTCCAATATTCAAGTTCAAACATAATTTCTTACCTTAAATTGAAATCAAGTTCAAAGTGGAAACTGTTTTTCCAAGAAAAAACAGAGCACAAACTATCAAATTTCTAGAGTTCAAGAAGAATTGAAATCAAAACATCTTAAAATTGGTGGTAATTTGTTTCAACTGTATTGGAATATACAATAGGAATTGCAATATGTAAAACCCCTGTTTTTACATAATTTCTTACCTGAAATTGAAATCAAGTTCAAACTTCAAACATAATTTCTTAACTTAAATTGAAATCAACTTCAAACATCACTGAAAACCTTAAATTTTACTGTGAAAATTTCGAAATAAGCAAAGTCGAAATTTGTATTGTGAAGATTTCTTACCTTAAATTGAAACCAGCAAAGTCGACTACCACATGATACCATCACAGGAAACCCATCAAGCCGGAGCAGCAGCTACGTCGACAAAGTTACAGGGACATTGGCGTCGGTTTATGAGAAAATGGTGGATGTTGGGAGCGTCTCTGGAACAGGGCAACCAGGCAACCACACAGGTTCAGGTACGACGACAATGGAGAAAGGGATGGAAGCCAATAAGGGGGTGTCGAATATTTGGTAGAGACTAGAGAATAGAGACTGTGAAGGAAAGAATTAGGTTTCTCGTCAATGGGCTAAAATAAAAGAAGGCATTTGGGCTAAAATAAAAGAAACATTTGGGCTGACCGGTTCAACAACGTTTTTTCCGTTTTATTATGACCGGTTCGACCACGTATTGGTGAGAACCGGTCGGGTCGCTCCGGGTCAAAAAGTGGCAAAAACCCGGTGTATATTGACCCGCTCTAGTGTCCGGTTCCAGGTTCAACCGGTTGGACCGGCCGGGTTGACCCAGGTTTTAAAACGTTGCAGAAGAGAGATCAGACGATGAATGTGACACAATGCTAAAAAAATGATGACCAGATCGGTGAGTTCATGGCAAATTCAATAGATAGCCATGAACATGAAGAGAGGGACAAAGGGGTATCATATTTTGCTTTTTTTTTTAAACGGCAAACTATCCTACTCCTAATCTAATCCTAAACACCACATGTCTCCTAGTGAGACTTAAACCCATGACCTGTCATTTGAGAGAGCCACTCCTTACCGCTAGACCAAAGACCCTTTGGTATCATATTTGTTTCTGCATATCTGCTTCTATAGAACCTAAAGAGGACAATAAACATCAAAACATCGATACCAAGCACAAGTGGCTTGTTTTAGGTCGTAGAGAGCTTTTCGAAGCTGACGAATATGATCATGTTAGTAATATTCACGTTCAAAATAGCATTTTTCATATCAAATCCATGAATGGGCCAACCCCATAAAACGGTATTGCTAAAATGGTATGAATGTTTTTACATGCTTGACTAAGAGGCTAAAGATCATATTAACGTCCAAATCGGGATGTTGATAAAACCTTGTGGCCATTAAACGACCATTATAACGGTCAAAATTACCATGGCCACCAAATATATGACAAAAGATCCTTCGATAGTTAACAATGTTGACACAGGGAGGTCGAGAAACTATTGGCATGAGCCATTGGAAAGCAAGGCAGATATTTCAGAGTCTATAGCAGCTCTCCAATGAGGGTTACACAAAGCATGAGCATGATACTTGAGAATGATATAATGCATAATTGTGCCCAATAGATTAAGAAGTTGGCGAGGTTTGAAAGATGATTATCATGGGATGAACGGAGACATGAGTCAAGGAAGAAAGGTTAGACACAATCAAAGAGTGAGGGACTAAAATGGTGGGATGGTGGATGTTGTCGTAGTGGTTAATTTGGACGAAGAAGGGTCCACGATGACTACCAGGATGAGAAAATGAATCCAGGGTTTTTCAATGCTAGTAGGGTTGATATGGATGGTTAAAGAGGGAGGTATATGAGTAAGGGAAATGAAAGGGGACATATCATCATTCAACGTGTTGAATACTACATATTCCTAAGGGAGGAAGCGAGTGAAAGGATGTTAGTTTTCAATATGACATGAAAATAGATCATAAATTACTAAGTAATAAGATCAAGACAACGATAGGCCGAATGATCGGGAGAGGGACCAAGAAGACATACGCAGTAAAGTAGGGATCAAGCTTATGACTTATGGTGTCAAAAAGATTGGGGTAGCATAGACAACCAAATACACAATGTGAGGGTAGGAAGAAAATGTTGGAAACAGTATCCAAGGTCATTAACTTTTTGGTAATATTTCTAATAATAACAACATCCTTTTGGGTTGGCCTCATGACCCAAATAGAAATAAGAAAATTGAGTAAAATAAGCTATTAATTTATTAAGTAATTAATAAATTAATTAGAAATTAATTAAATAGTTTTAGTTAATTAAAGAGCTTGAATATTAATTAAATCCTAGTGATTAATTGGAATATTCCAGAAGCTCCTGGAGACCATGTGGAGGATGGTTTTGATAGGCTCCCCGATAGGGATAAGACAGGTTTGAATCAGATAAGGATTAACTTGAAGAGTTTGAATCCATTTAGAATTTATCTGCATCCTATAAATAAATTGTTAGGGTCAAACCCTAGTTGATGAATCTCTCATATTTTTGTCTAACCCTCTCTCTCTCTCTCTCTCTCTCTCTCTCTCTCTCTCTCCTAGTGGACAAAATTCATAACCTCTTTCCTAGGGTTAGTGAATTTCGCATAAACCCTAATCTAGTGTTCTTCCTTTTTGCTTTTGGTGTTTGTGGGTCTAACTACACTAGAGGAATTCTACTTTGGATCCTTTATACATTGCATTCACTAGCAGTTACGAGATCCCACTCAAAAAACGAAGAGGTTAATATATTTCTCTTTAGTTTGTTTTTATTGTTCGTTCATATAACTAGAAAACCTAGATCTTATGGAGTATGTATATTTAGGTAAATCTTTGATTGTTTCAACTATCTTTAGAGAGTGTATTGATGTTGATAAAACCCAACAAAAAAAATCCAAATAGTATTTTGAAAGGTCGTGTGTGTGTGTGAGAGAGAGAGAGAGAGAGAGAGAGAGAGAGAAAAAGAGAAGGATAGAGTATGGTGGTATGTAAAAGGTTATGGGTGTGAATGACCATATGTAAGGCATCAATTCAAAACTTAAGCAAAAGCTGAGTTTGAAAAAAGCAAAGTGTGAAGAATGCTAACAATATCATCCATTTTTATTGGGATGTGTAGGGAAAAAATGCATTTTAATGTCATTAGTCTAAAAGAGAATTAAAAGTTATCATGTTAAAGAATTTGAAGTTGGTTTTCAATTTATTTTTAACATAAACACGAAAATTATAAAATGATAAACAAAAACCCTTCGATTTCACAAAAAAAAAAACATTCGAATATAAAAGAAATAACATAATGAGATATTTTATACCAACTTTATGTCATATTAAAAATATATTTTCTTGAAAAAGATAAAAGGTTTATTTAGAAGGTATTTCAGAATTTGGAGAAAATTATTGAAATCCGAAATTTCAAGAAAATGATTCGTTTTTTTATTGGAATTTATCAAAAAGATTAAAAAAAGAAAAAACCTAACAAATGGATGGTAGATATCATACAAACGCATAAAGGTAATTTTTGGTTGAAAAATGGAGAAAATTACATATTTCGAAAATAAATAGAAAAAGTTTTTGAAAATTATATAATACAAATAAAGAAAAAAATTCATATTATATATCATTTGAAATTTGAAATTGTTAAATGGTGGCCATTTTTATAAATACTAAAATATGATTTTCTTTATTTTAATAAACTTCTTTTTTGGTATTTTTTGTTTAACCTTATAATAATATAGACCATGTTTGAATAAAGGAGTTGCAGAAATGGGATATTCCCATTATGCCTCAAAAGAGTTACAGATAACCATAAATAGAAATAGATATAGAATTGACGATAGGCAGCCAGCTTGGCAAATACGCACAGTTGACCCTCCAAAAAGAAACCACGTTGCGTATCAACTGAACAAATCGTCTTCAATAATCTAACCTCTTTCATCCTTCCAATAGTCTATACTCTAACCTCTTTTCCCTATTAATTTCTTCCCAAACCCACACTTTTCACCATTTCTGTACTCAAATTACTTCTCAAACAACAAACAAAATGAAGGGAGATCGTCGTCAACATGGTGCAATCAGGTGTTACGATATTAATCAGCCTCTTTTGGCTCAAGAACGCTACAAAAAGATGGTGGATTCCACCACCGCCGCACGGCTGTTCACCAAGGTGCTCAACAAGCCGACGAATCAATCAAAGTGTACCGGGAAATGTCACAAGGGGCGGTGCTCCGGTCATCATCATAAACACGCGGTTTGTAAGTCCAGAGATAAGGCTAAAGGGGCCATGAAGATCAGATCGATAGATCCTGAGAACGAGTGGACCAAATATCCTGTTGGGAACTCGGCGACTAGGGTTTTGGCTTATTTGGCTAATGAAGAGGGTTACAATGATGATGATTATGATTACGAGGGTAGAGTAGAAGAAACTTATGCTTATAATTACGCGTATGATGACGACAATCATCATGATCATGATGTTGGTACTCATGCAATAGACCTTGGTGCTGGATTCGCAATTGGGATTGGGATTGTGGCAGATGAGCATGAGAATGATGTCCATATTGATGATGATGATGATGAGTTTGATGATGATGATGCCATGAGCTTTTGTGATGTGGGGTTATGCTGGGGACATGAAGATGAGGATGAGTCTGGAGACGATGATTGGTATTTGGTAGGTGGACAAATGGAGTAAATTCAAATTCTTTTGATCAAATTCATCATATCATCATATTCTAATTATGCATGATGATTTTGGGGTTTGGTTTAAATTATTGTTATTATATGTTAATGATATGTAATCATATAGTTTGTTAATTGTGTATTATATGAATAAAGTTAGCTCAATTCTTGTTGTCACTTGTTTGTTTCTAAGATAAACCATAACTCCAATGATTCATTTACAACTACTTTCTTCAAAATTGATCTACAACTACTATATTTTATTATAATTTCCTTGATTTGTGGGACCCATTTTAATTTATAATATAAATCCAACCCCATGAAAATGATAAAGGATGTGTTTTTAATCATTTTGTGGGGATTGTTTCTTATCAATTTGATGGGTCTGGTGTTAACATGAAAACAACATTTGATGGGTTTTGTTTCAATTTTTTAATACAAACAAGACCAATAATAATAAGACAAAGATTAATATGATAATCATATTTAAAACTCTCTTTCCAAAATACAACAAATTTTGCATTCATGCCAAAAGGCCTTGGCAATTGAGAAATAGTAATATGGAACATAATCAATCAATCATCTTTTAACTGGAAATGGACAGACATATAAAACCAGCAAAAGTTATATGCACAAACTAAAATTACTGAAGAATATTTGGAGACATATTTTCATGGCTAATCCTTCTTGCTAATTCAGATAAAGGATGATTAATCGGATTTTGATCATTGTTATTTTTCCAAAGTCTTCTAGAAGATTTCTTGATGGAACACGGTATTGTTGTTGTCGGAGGTTTTCTTGTAGGCGTTACTACATTTACCGACCTCAAATTCAAATTCCCTAGTGCTTGTGGAGTCTACAAAAACAAACACAAAATTCATTCCTCAAAATATATATATATATATATATATATATATATATATATATATATATATATACATTTTTCTTTTTTTAATTATTTTCAAATTCTAGACGTATATACATACATACATACCCTTTTGATCATGCTCTTTGGTGTTTCTCTCTCATTATAAAAACTGGGTAACGGCCGAGCTTTAAAGCAGAAAGTTTGACGAAGTCTTCTAAATTCTGTCTCTGCTTTCTCCTGTATTTTTAAATTATTCGAATATAAAAAACACAAGAAAATAATTGGAAATTTGACAAATGAGAAAAGATTATAAGTTATAAAACCTTTAATGATGTTTGCAGCTGCACTTTCTGCGCTTCTTTTTCATTAAACTTCTCTTCAAGCTTCTGAAAATAATTAAATGCAAAACATAGATTCATTAAACTACAAGAATATTTTATTAAAAGGCTCAAGAGTAATAAAGTAGGTTGCTATTCTTGCCTGTTTTCTTCGTGCAGCTCTTTCCTCTGTTCTCAAAGTGAAAGGAGAAGATACAGTTGGTGATTGCAACTTGTTTCTATAAGCACTCAGTGACTTTGAACTACATTATTAATTAACACACAATAAGTCAAAAGGTTAAAACAGTAATTTTCCCATTTATATTTAGAGTATGAATCCTTTAAATGTCAAAATGGTAATTCCTGAAACAACTTACACAGCTGAGAAAATGTGCCATTTTTGACTCGGAGTTTTGCTTCCAACAGCTGAAGGCGTTTGTGTTTCCACCCTTTATTAAAAAATATAAAGAAACAGCAAGATTATTTAAACCATTTAAAGAAATATAAAAATTTAGAGTAACTTACCTTCTTTTTACTGAAGGTGTTGCCAAAGGTTGCTTATTCACCCCACTTTTAACCTAGGAAACAAAATTCACATAAGTTTAAGCTACATTGCATATAAAGGAGTGGCATAAATGTAATTTTACCTTAGAAGGAGTCCTTGTAGGTGTTGGGTAGCGTTTGGGTGTGGAATGAGCACTAGGAACAGGTTTTTTGGTTTCAATCTTTTGAACATTTTGAGAGTTTAATTTGCATGATTGTGATTCTTTAACAGAACCAGAATTCATTAACGTGTATAAAGATCTTGGAGCTATTCTCTTTTTATCTACAGAATCCATTGTAGTGGAAATAGAATTTTTGGATTTTGGAGTGATGATGTTGTTTTCTTTTCTGGGATTCATAAAAGCAACATACTTTGATGGTGAAGGTGGGATTTTAGCTTGTTTCTTGTTGACTAATGTTGACCTGAAAGTAGGTGTAGCTGGTTTTCTCCTCATTCTTGGTTGTAAAACCTCCTGCTCTGTGTGCGACTTTGACTAAAACAGAATAAAAATATATATAATCAATAATTTTTTAAACTAATCAACAACAAAAAAAGAACAAGTATTATAAATTTATAATTACCTTCAACAAAGGTCTGTCCATTTGAGATGTTCTACTATCCTCAGAAACAGAAACATGATCTTCAAGATTCTCAATCTTCTTTACCAAATCTTTCTTCTTCAAACCCACATCTACTACAATCTTTTCAGTTCCCGATTCAACAAGATTGAGAGGTTGTTCTTCGTTGACAATTTTCTGTGTATTCAACAATGGTGGTTGTGGTATATGAATGTTCAACAACGATGTTTGTGAATCATCATAGGACTTGGGGCTGGTGGTGGTGGTGGTGGCGATGGCGTTTTTTTCTTGCTCAAGCAATGCAGCAGCGGCTGCAGCAGCTTTTTGAGCAGCCACTTTCTTGTAATGAGCTTCAAAGAAAGCTTTCTTTTGGGCAACTGATCCAGGTTGGGCATAACTCTTGGCTTCTTCAACATACCGTTTATGAGAAAATGTTGACCATTTTTCCCAAGCTAATGACTCTGATGTGAACCTCCCAAAAGAGACTGAATCTCCAAGAACATGTACATGGTTCCCCTGTAAACAAGTAATTTTACCAGATTTATCATTTCAGATCAAAGAAACACTCCAATTGAGTGCAAGAAAACTGCTAAGAGTATGCTTTTAGAGAAATTCCACTCATTGGAGCATTTCTACAAACACTTTGTAGTCAACAACTCGCTCCCAACATACTACAATATGAAATCAGTTGAGGACCCAGAAAAGTTCACAAAAACACATTTTCAGTAAAATTCAACTCACTGGAGCACTTTGACAAACACTTGGTACAAATTGGTAGTTGATAACTAAAAATCATGATGAAGAATAATCACTTGATGAATTTGTCGAGACTTACATGGTTGTTGGGTTCAGGTAGAGAATGCATGAGACATGTCGATTCTCCCATGTCTATCAAGAAGACGAAAACACAGAGAAGAAAACGACCCAGAAGCAATAAAGTAGATCAAGGTAAGGGGTTTCGTTACAAAATCTTTACTTGCAACTGACCAATTACTCAAAAATTTGAAATTCAAATGAAAAGAGGCGTACGTTATAGAAAAAGTCGCCTGGGGTTTCTTCTTTTTCAGCTGGTGGTTGGGTCCTACCTGTTTGAATTAGGAGGAAACAATCATCTAAGTAACGTTCATCTCTTTAAATGCAAATATTAAACTAGAAAAGCCACCCAAAGTCCAAAGCCTTTGCCTTTATAACTCAATTTAAAAATTCACTACTATTTCAAATATTATCTTTCCTACATTTTATTACTACTATTCTCCTACCCATATTAAATGTAAATATAACAAATGGATAAAAATATTATCAATTTCATTAAATGTGTCATATGTCAACATTTGATATGGTAGGAAGATAAATAAAAACAAAATGTAAGGGGATATTTAATTTCTTTTATCTTTTTCCCCTTCTTCTAAATATTTGGCTTAGTTACTTGTTTATTTAATAATTGGAATTTCTTGTGTCCTAAAGATACAGATAAAAAACATTAATTATGAAAAATATCACCTTAACTAAATATGAGATATATTAATTATAACCAATATTTTCCATAAAAATGCATTTTATATTTTTAAATTAAAGATATTTCATATAATTAATACATTTCATGTTTAATTATGGTAATATTTCTCATAATTAAATTTTTATGTATGTCATTAGGGCAAATATTAGAAAATTCATTTTATAATTAAGGGTATCAGTCTGTTTGCTACTGCGGCCTGTGGATATACAATTGATAAAACATAACAGCGAATATTTCTTTAAAAAAAGTATGTATAAAAACAAAGATATCTTTGAAATATATGCATAAAAACAAAATTTTATTAATAATTAATTATGTAAACAAAATTCAATTTGTATGAATGAATTTGTGAAAAATAAAATTATGAAAAAATATGTAAAATTTAAACAAACTTTTTTTATAAAAAAATATTAAATTTTAAAAACATAAAAAGCAAACATGGGGGAATTTGTAAAAACATGTATGGACGAATTTATAAAAAAGTTGTAAAAAATATATGTAAACTCATTTGTAAAAAAATAAGTTTTAAAAATGTAAGTTTAAAAAAAAAATATATAAGATAGAAGTTGTAAAAATGAATATATCCACCATTCCCAACCCATTCAAATCACTTGCCACATCAGTTTTTTTCTATCTTTCTCAATCCATAAGGTTGAACGGTATCATGCCTTTTTTACCGTCGGTATGCCTATGTGGCACCCTTTACCGGGCGTGAACACCACCACATTCCTTTTGATTTACCGGCGGTAGGTTACCGGAGGTATGTTTCCACTGTTATCTCTCTCATCTTTTGCTGTTGAAACTCATTATCTCTTCCTCCCTCTTTACCGGTGTTAATATTCAACACCGCACCCTAATACCTAAAATCTTCATAGGCAAAACATTAAATCATTTGTGGATCTAGGTGGCATCGGTAAACCCTTTACGACACCCCACGGCCTGAGACATAGAAACTTGTTTATTCCGATTCACTCAACACATTTTTTTTTAGAACAACAGATTCATTAAAACTCTAGCAAGAAACTAGAAAACGAAAAGGTTCAAGCCATAAAGCATACTCACTCAACACACTTGTCACATCATTATTGTTAATTTAATTAAATTAGAAAATTAAAAATAAAATAAAACATAAGATTTTTTTAGTTCTTTAATTTTTAAAATAAACTTTTACTAATTTATAATAATATATATATCTATATATATATATGATATATATATATATATATATATATATATAAAAGAAAGATTAAAAATAACATTTAATTAAAAACTTAAACTACAATAAAGCATAAATTACATCCTAAAACGACAATTAAAATGAAAAGAAATACTACAAACGCACAAACTAAAAGAAAATGTTAAATTCTAAAAAAAGATGGGTAATTTTTTAAAATATTTCATGCTACCTTGTAACAAAAGCTTTTCATGTTATGATATCCACGATACTCATCTTTTGTTGCGTTTAAAACTTCTTCATTAGAAACTATGGTCTCTCGGGTATTCATCTTATGGGTGAAAATAACATTAAATTTTTTCACTTTTCATTGCATATCTTTCCATTTAGAAGCAATTTGATGTGTTGAACGATTCGAACCCCAAACTACTGCTTAAAATGATCAAGAACTAATCGCCAAAAATATGATGATCTATGTTGAGTAACCTATTTATTTTTGAAAGTGTCGTTGTGTGTTTTGTCCAACGCCACTTCTACACATACGAATGACGTAGGAATAGCATCCATTTAAAAAGAATGAGAATGAGAATGAAATTTATAGAAGAAAATGGAATGGTATATATATATATATATATATATATATATATAATATATATATATATATATATATATATATCTATATATAATATATATATATATATTATATATATATATATAGATAGAGAGAGAGAGAGAGAGAGAGAGGTAGGTTCAAATGTTTCTCACATCTATTGTGTGCTAGAATGCACCAGGAATTTAGTATTAATTATATGTATTTAAAAGCTATCCATACTATAACTCATTTTTATGGAAACTAATTAAATCGTCATTAATGTCAACATAATATTTTTCAGAATAATTCATATCTAGAAGAATGAGAGTGTATTCCAGCAGAATGATAGTGTATTCTAGTAGAATACACTCTCGTTCTTCATATTCAATGCAACTTTATTTTATTTTAAGTGAGTGAGTCCTGAAACAAAATACGAACTCATATATAAAAACCTAGATGCGAATTCATTCTAAAAGAATGTTATTGCTGACGTTAATGACGGATTTAATTAGTTTCCATAAAAAAAGAATTATATTATGGTATCATTTATATACATATAATTATGGAAATCATTTAATATTTATATTTATTTAATTAAATAATTATTTAATTTACTAAATTCCTATTGGTGCATTCTAGCACACAATAAATGTAAGAAACAAAATAACCTAGCCCTAATATATATATATATATATCTATATATATATATATATATATATATATATATAGATATATATATATATATATATGGTTTTGAAATGGTAGAAGAGAGTATTTATAATGGTATAAAAGATTAATAAAAAAGAAAGTATTCGTTGAATGCAGGTTTTACAACCCGCATGGAGGTTCTTTTGGCGGTATCCTCTGCGCTCGGAGCCATCACGTAGACGGTACCGCTGCCTGCTCGTTGGAGCCTAGTAACTACACCGTACATCCTAAAGAAAAGGATTTGAGAAAAAATTAATTTCCATAAAATATAGACAAAATTCGTAAAAATAGTTTAACATTGAGCTAAAATTATAAAAGAACTAAACTAAATTCGTAAAATAATTCGACCGGTTCCAAACACACAAACCGAAACCAAAAGACTGGAAATCGAATAAGTCGTAAACTAAGAACCGTACCCAATAACACTAACTGGTTTCAGTTCCGGTTCGTTTTTTCGGTTAAAAAGTCCATCCATAGTGGTACTCGTTGGTAGTCAAACTCTGTTCTTGAACCCCAAAAACATCACTAGACCTCTTTGAGAACTTTTATCCAATACTTGGTGTGCGATCTTACAAACTCCACCTCAACACACAATTTCTTTGTTGAGGGACCTCATTTTCGATTCAAGTCACCAAAACAAATACAACTCAATAAAATCAATACATATTAGACCTTATTTGTTACTTGATTCGAGATAAAAAAAATCTCGTGAAATACGTACAAAAAAACAGTCATGTTTTTCACTTGTTCCAGAAATCTCGATTGATTATTCACCGTGGAGTTATAACTACCGAAACACCATTCAATTAATCTCCACCCTCCTCAATCAATCATGAAAAAAAAAACACAGCCAAAAACTCCATAAAACAGTCCATTCGATCAAAAATCCCCCCTTCTAGGTAACCACTTGTTGTGCATTTGCATAGCATAATCAATAACTAGGATGAAATTGTGGAAGAAATTAACAAAGAAAAGATCAAGGAAAATAATATTTTGAATGTGTATGTGTTTCTGAGTAAAGTGGGAATTAGAATCTACTATAAGTACATTGTCTAAATGGGTTAATAGTTATAGTACTCATTTTCCCTATATTTATGATAATGGTCCCTAAACATATGTGTGTATGTCTACATCAACATTTGAGCATTAATTTCAAATACCTATGTGGCATATAAAACCGGTTATAATAGATGTGAGTGACCAAAAGAACATGTTAGCATCCACTTTACGTCTTTATAAAGCCATAAAGTAGCTTTGAAGACCATTTAAATCAATTCAAAAAGTTTTGTTACCTACAGTAACATCAGTAAAATATCCAAGATACTTTTTAAATTATAATACATGAATCTTGTGAACACGACAACAATGTCATATATCTAAAGAAAACCGAAAATATGTTTTTGTTGACAATTTATTTATACATTTTTAAAAAATGTATCTATCTGGCTTATCAAAGATGGTGGCTCTTTCAAATGTGTTTCGATTTCATTGTCGAAACCTCAGGTTTGGGAACGCAATTATAATGAGGGATTTGAATCCAACCTCAAGATGATATATCATAATGCTCGTGCACAATAACCCGCTCGTGTGTTTACCTTTTCAACCGCTATTTTAAAGGTAGCCAGCAAAAATTTGGTTGTTGGATGTAAGTAGTAACTTTTATTTGTATAAAAGTGTTCGAAAAAAATAATGAAAATTTTAAAATGACAAAACATTAAAACTATAAATCAAAAGTTCTAAAAAATTATTTGAAATAGCTTTTGAATTCTGAGTTTTTTATTTAAAATAAAAGTTCTAAGTTGGTACTTCCAAACAAAGCTTTTTCATTAGTTCAAACTTTTTCTTTAATTCGAGCTTTTTCTTAAAAGCTAAAAGCTCCTGAAAGTTAAATTATTCAAAGAATCGACTATTCTTGGGAAAGTTTCCGGTTGTAATGATTACAGATAACAACATATGAAAACACAAAGAATCTTGAATGGCCTGAAATATACGTTGTTTTTACAAAGGGGTGTGATTATACAATATTGACATCTCGTTCATCCTCCTGTGTAACCCCATGATTACTTGTTTTGTTTCTAGAGGATCTCTGTCTGCTAAAAATCCGGCCAAATGTACTTTTGGACCTTGGAACAGTTTGAGGTCCTCTGTTACTACCATCCCTGCCCTCAAGCTCTTCAGATATCGCCTTCATCGCGTTCTCAAACCGTCTTCTGTATGTTGGGTACCTTGATATCGACTTTGTTATCCCTTGAAGCCTTCATTGAAACCACCACCATCAAGATTCAGAAAAAAAAAAAAAACACTCATATAGCTATTTTGAGTTTTGGTTATATTTTAGGGATAATCACAAAGATAACCAAAATGGTATTGTCCATTTAACAAAATGACCACCAATTTTGCAATGGGTCCCATTGTGAAATGCAAAATTAATTTTTGAATAGTCCACACCACAACAAACCTTAAAAAATATTAAAAAATCTTATATTTCACAGGTCTTTTGTGGTGGGGACCATTCAGAAAGCAATTTCCCAGTAATGGGCCCACTGTTGGTCGTTTTGGGTAAAGGATAAAAAAGGAGTTCATTTTCTTTTCGTAAAATAGAACATACCATTTTGGTCATTTTTCTGATTATCCCTATTATATTTTAACAAACTCTAATGGATCAAATGTGTCGAATAGAAAAAAAAATTAACTAAAATGTCAAATGAGTCAGAAACAAAAATGTTAATATTACCTTCGAGCTACGGCCTCAAGTTCAGCCCGTCTAAGCTCGGACTCGGGTGGGGGACCAATGTTGGAAATTTTCAACTTTTGGGCATCACCACTCAACAAAACTAGCTTTCCTAAATAATCCTCTTCGGCTTCCGTGAGATTTTGTGCTCTGATTTGGTCTTTGATGACCAAAAGCGGGTTCAAGAACCAATCATAGATCGTGTCTTTGGGTCTGTTTAGGGTGGTTATCTCCGTATTATCCGCTGGTGTAAAAAAGAGTTGTCAAAAAACAAAGTAAAAAAAATCAATAAAAAATATGATAAAAATTACCGAGCAATAGACCGGCAGTATTGGCTTTTGCGGAGCGTAAAAGTGATTGGTAAAGACAATAAGCGGGTACACCGATGGTTATTACGGTTCCACTTTCTTTGTTGGATTTTGCATCCACAATCTCTTTTACTGTTATTAATCCTTCCAACACCAAGAATTCACCCTGTCGACGACATTCTGAGAAGAAACCATCCAGCAACTACACAATTCGTAGTATATCAAATGAATAATCAGTCCACGGAATTGGAATTCGAGATTCCATTCCATGCCGTGTTTGGTTGCCAAATGGACACAATTCACTTCCCTCGTATTCACCATTCCTATGGTTGGGTGGAAGGAATTCTGTTTCATTCTTCATTTTTTATTAAATGACGAAAATACCCTCATTATAGAGTAAATTTACATTTTTGGTCTCTGAGTATAGTTGATTTTTTCAGTTTTGGTCCCAAAAAGTTTTTTCTTGCCATTTTGGTCCATAATTGAGGTTTTTGTAATGTCTTTGGTCCTCGTTTAGAGTCAAATGACTATATTTTTGGGACCAAAATTTCAAATATCAGCTATACTTAAGGACCAAAAACAATCATTTTACTTGGAACAGGGACCAAAAACATTACAAGAAGCTCAAATAAAACCAATATTGCAAGAGAACTTTTTGGGACAAAAACTGCAAGAGAACTTTTTGGGACCCAAATTGCAAAAATCAGATATGTTCAGGGATTAAAAAAAAATGTAACTTACTCAAAAGAAAGAAACAAAATAATAAGTGAATTCCAATTCCATTCCATTTCTCCCAACCAAACACATGACATATTTCAATTCCTTCAGATTCCAATTCCATTGACAGATATCATTCATTGCAAAAACATTTGACAAATCAAACACCCCTTTATAACTTATTTGTTAAGACTTAAAGTTATAATAAGAGCAAACCTCCAACGGCTTCAATTCAATCATGGGGGCCCGCAGAGATCCAGACCGAGACGGTTGATGTTTAGACGATCCCGCCCTTGAGAAAGAATTCGAACCAGACAATCCAGGGTTGCGCCGATATTTAGGCCTTGAAAAACAAAAATATATTATTAGCCAACTTATTTTACAATTTACCAATAAAAAAAAAAAGATATGTGAATGAATCTGATTATTACTTGGGAAAGCAAGATCCCTCGGGCAAATCAAGAATATCATTGCTATACTCATCAAAGATGGACAATGCAGATACAATATAGCAAAGCCCAAGATAGAAAGACGATTCCTGTTCCCACAAACTCAATAAGTTAGCATTTACCCCCAACAACTTCTTCATCAATCCAAAAAATATTTCAAGTTTTCAACTTTAGGCAATATACATCACAAAAAGTTGACAAATTTTATTCAATATACATCAAGAAAAAAGTATAAAGAAAAAGAAATTGCAGTAGTCAGTCACCTGATAGCATACAACAGCTGCATATAAACCAAGAAAGATAGCAGATATCATGGAAGCTAACACAGCTCCAGCAACAGCCAATGGCCATAGCAAGATGGCTAAACCTGCAAATGGCACACAAATGGTCTCCAAGAAAGGGCCTTCTCTACCCACACAATCTTGAAACAAACGATGCCACCCTTTGAACAACATGTATGGACTTTTCAATGCAGCTATAACTGTAATCACTGGAAAGTCAACCAACACTCCAACTACACCTAGCAGAATCGATACAGGACAATAGACTATCCTGTAATTATAACCAAATAATCACTTCTACGTGATAACAAGTTTAAATTGAACATTCAAGATGGTATGTAGGGTTCAAAAAGATGAAATCATAATGAACCTGATCTCAATTTTAGAATCTGGAAGGCCTTGTTTTCGAAGGTCATCCATCATAGAGAAGTATGAATAGAAGCATACATCTAATAAGTCTCTGACAAGTGTAAAGCTTCTTTCAACAGTGTCCCAAGTTCCATCCTGACAAGTGTAATTAAAGAAAATCTTGATTTAACAAACGAAACAACAGCAACGACAATTTAAGTAATTAAAGAAAATCTTGCTTACGATAATACAATGGAGGAACTGATCAGTTTTCCCTTCACCAACAGCTTTAAAAGTTCCAAACATTGGCCCAAGGAAACCAAATGCTAAGCCACCAAGAATGCTACCCACAATCATTGCAACAGGCCAGAAAATCAAGACTGGTGTAAACAAAATGCATGCAACCACTTTCATCACAGGTCCTAATCGTTTAGCACTGCCATTAAAGAAATTAAATAGAGAATCTTTATATATGGATACAAGTATTTTAAGGGTTAAGGGGGTGTTTGGATATGGGTTTTGAAAATAGTATTCACTTTCAAAACAAGCACCTAAAATGGTTGAAGAAGTTACCTCAATATGGAAAAGTAAGACCATACAACATGTACTGGGAAAAGACCAATTACAATAGTAGAGTTTCCAATTGTCAGAATAGCACATATTAATGGAGCAAAAATGATTCCTGCAATCAAAGAAATAATTTGTACAAGATACCCATTAAGATCATCTTTCAAGATATGGAATGCAGTTCATTTAGTTCTAACTGAAGGGTTTTGTAAATACGGCAAGATAATAAATCACAGAGTAAAACAAATTGGGAAAAGAAAGGTTCCTGACATCAAAGAAGCAACTTTTACTAAACACCAACATTTAAAAATTTGAGATTGAAGTTATTTAGTTATGATTAGACAAGGGTTTCATAAATACACCAAAATAACATCAATCACAAACAGAAACGAATGGGAAAAAGAAAGGTTGCTTGATTCAAAGAAGCAATTCTGACAAGACTCCAACAACAATTAGCAGCCTTGCAAAAATTAGGATAGGAGTTCATTTAGTTATAATTTGCAAAAGGGTTTCAAAATAACAACCACATAATAAAACAAAAAAGGAGAATAAAAATATGCAAACAACTGGAGCGAAAATGATTTCTGAAATCAAGAAACAATTTTTAAAAAAACACCCACTAGCAGTAGCATTCAAGAATTGAAAACGGAGCTTATTTAGTTCTAATTCGAAAAGGGTTTCATAAATACCCTAAAATAACATCAAAGTCACAAAATTGACAAAGGGTGAAAGAAAGAGTTAACCTTTAATGAAGCCTAGAAGCAGAAGGCCAATGAAATAAGGCAAGAAAAGGATGAATTGGCCTAAAGATTTCCAAAACCCTGTTGGAGGTTCCATTGAAGGTGCAGGTTTCTGTATCTTCTTCTTCCTCTTCCTCCTCCTCCTCCTCCTCCTGCTCCTTACTTACTTCAGATCTCAAGTTTCCAGCATCAAATCCAACCCGAATCTTGCAAATCCGAAGCCAAAGTTATTTGAATAAACTCAAGTTGAGGGATGACACACAAGTCTTTCTGGCAAGATAATTAATCATAGGGGTTTGGAGTGAATACTATTACTACACCCTGTATTTATTGTATTCTATTATCTATCCAAGAATAGTTCGACAAATGAGTGGGTTTTTTTAATACTTGATTATATGGAAGTTCCAAATTTGAACTTTCGAAGAGCAGCGAGAATCTTGTTTCTGTGTTCGTTTTGGGGGTTTAAAAATCAGGGAAGAGGGTCGAGTGAGGATTGTGCGACAGGAGACATAGATGGCACTCGGGGTTTCCACGGATTCAATTTAACAAGCAAAGAATAAGACATCTAGACGACTAGTCTTATTCCTCGTCTAAGAGCAGGACTTTGCCTTTCTTTTTCTCTTAAATATTAAGGGGGTGTTTGGGATTGGTTTTTTACGCTAAAAATTCTTTTTGACAAAAGTCATTTTTGATTTTTTGGCTTTTTTACAAAAAATAGTTTTAAAATGTGTTTGGTTTATCTTTTGACTTTTCAAAAGCTAAAAACTCAAAAGTTGCAAAAAGTCACAAATTCATGACTTTTCAAAAGCTTATTTTTGTTCTTGCCAAAAAGTTGTTCTAAAAGAATTTCTTGAAATGCTCAAACATCTTTTTAACTTTTAGCTTTTTGTAAAAGCTAAAAGTTCTAAAAGTCATTTTAAAAGATTTCCCAAACACCCTCTAAGGTTGATGAGTTGTCGATGTAATGAAACGTTTTATCAACACATATTGTTATTAATTAATGACATGTCATCAGCACCAATGAAGAGTCGCGCCCCGCGCCAAAGAATCCCTCAAAACATGCCGCGTCCAGTGAAACAACCTTGACGGAACTTAGCGCCCGCAGACGCCCCTAAGAGCAGGGCGCCCGCGAAGAAGGCCCGGCCCCGCCAGGGGCGCCTTCTACTCCATGACAAAGTGTAACGGCTCCATGCGACAAAGCATGTGCTTAGAGCATTACCGCCTGAACCAATCGTTGGCTCTGACAGATTAAGGAACACGATCACCCAATCAACGTCCCTGATCCTGTGGTGTAACGACGTAAATTTTAAAACGATTTTTTTCATTTTTCAAACACAATAAAACTCATATAATATTCTCAAAATCTCATGTGTATCAAATGTCATCACAATAAAACATATCCCAGAATCTCAAAAAAACATAATCCTCTGCCAGTGTGTACAAATCATGTCGGCGCCTTCCCGTGATCATCGGTAGTACCTGAAACACATATCACATAACACGGTAAGCATAAATGCTTAGTGAGTTCCCCAAAATACCACATACAGCACATAAGCCACTCGAGGCTATAACTCGGTAAGACCCTCTGGTCAATGTGTCTCAGCGGACCCTCCAGTCCCGTAGCTCGTTGGACCCTCGGTCCGTCTAGTCGTTGGACCCTCTGGTCCGGTCTAAATCGTTGGACCCTCCGGTCCGGTCTACTCGAGGACCCTCTGGCCTCGTAAGTCGTTGGACCCTCCGGTCTGGTCTATATAACACATAGCATACATATATCACAATGCACATAATCTCAAACATACACATAACATATAAGACCCTCCGGTCTGCACATAGATACCACTCTAGGTAATGTATGGTGAGAAGATTCACCTAACAAGCAGCCAGTAAAGACCTCGCTCCCGAATCTCGAACTAGCCTCCGCCTAATACAAGGGATGAATATCTCTAAGTAATACTCAAATCACAACTCTAATGACGGAAGTGGCTATTCTTCTTCTCTTTAACTCTTCGAAGTGGATAAAAGACTGTTTCCTCCATCGGTTTCGGGGTGTGACAGCTGGTAATCCGAGGGCAAACTTATTGACCTTTGAGAGTTTCTGTTGGAACTTGGTATGGAATAAGCTTCATCTTTTCCGTGAAACTAGCAGCGTATTCAGTAACGCTCATTTTTCCCTTCTTCAAATTCTGAAACTCATTATTGATTTCCAGAAGGTCCTGCTCGGAGCAGTATTGCAATTTGAGTTACACCACGAAGTCTTCCCAAGACATCTTGCTCGCTTCTCCCTTGGGCATCGAGTCAGCTAACAGCTTCCACCAACTCAACACGCCAGATTTTAACAAAGGGATCGCAAGAGCGGTCTTCTGCCTGTTGTTGCACTCGCAACTTTCAAACAATGTCTCCATTTCGGAGATCCAGTCCATAGCTTGCACCGGCGTCGGGCTTCCGGATAGACACGGTGGCTTAGATGCCATAAAATCCTTGTATTTACATCCTCTTCCATCATTTCCTCCATCACGATTGTTTTGTCTAACAATCGGTGGGTTGGCTTGACCAACAGTCCCACTGAAGTTTCCTCCATCCGACGGCTCTCCATTCACTTCGGGCTCTTCAACTTGAATTGAAAGTTCTTCACGATTTTGTTGAAGCAGGCGTCTAGTTTCTTCCATCTGACGATCCAACATCGTCTGAATCATCATTGTAACCAGCCATTGTCACCGGCTCAGGTGTTGCTGCTACAACAGGTATTTGCTCAATCACTGGTGGTTGAGGCTGTTGATTCCTGTTTTCGTCTGCGTTTCCAACGCCACTTCTTGTTCTTGCCATCGTTTATCTATACACCGAACAAGGTGAATTTAGATCCTCAATCACGATAGATAATCAAATCATCCTTATCACCCCGAAACGTTTACATGCTAGTTCTAATACCGTCGTCATACGCTTAGAACCCTAAACACATAAGGTTTCCAGATCCGGTTGGCAACAAACCATAGATCCGAACAAATATATCATATATGGCAAACATATAACATTTAGCACATAAAAGCATTTTAGACAACTTTCCTAAAATAAACCAGTGCTCGTGTCTTAAATATAACAGATACTCATCTCACAATCTTCACTTAGCATTCTAAGTTTAAGTCTAGAAATCCTACAAATTCCTAGTTCGCTTAAACTAATGCTCTGATACCAACTGTGACATCCCCAAAATCACGGCCAGAAAAGACCGTTTTCATTTATGCTTTTAAAATAATTTCAGAGTAAAATCCATTGATTTAAAAGAGTTGCGGAATTTTTGTCCCCAAAACAAAACATGATAAAAAAAGGTTTATCAAAGCATTTCTTAAAGAAATGTATTTTCTTATATATCAAAAACTCGGGATGTCATGTTCCGATACAGACCAAAAGCATAAACAATACAAAATAGACCTTACAACAGTACATATAACTACTGGCTATAATCCAAAAATATCTTGACAATGTCATCCAACTTATGCTCTCGTGCCACTACCTGTAATACAAGAAAAACTGAGTGGGTCAGGCTTGGGAGCCTGGTGAGCATATAGGGTTTTCAACCCACAATAAACAATTTTATTTAGTTCATCGACCAACAATAACCCGATTACCCATTCCCGTTATCCTCACTTTATGTCCCTAAAACAAAAACTATTACAAGGGACCTAATCTAGGATTTCATCGGGACGGACATTACTGCAAAGGGTTTCCTTAACAATAGATGTCCTAAAGGCAACCATGAGGGGATAGAGTACACCGGGACACATCGTTCATAACACCTACAGGTTATGAGCCTGCTAGTGTTCCATTGGACTGTCTAGAAGGAGTCCGTGGTCGTCATCCATACTCCGCTAGATGACTAGATCAACAACAACATCGAGGCCTCTCATCATTTTTATTTCATCACACACCAACTGTCTACCCATGTTCCACCCAACATATTAGTAGATAAAATATGTAACATTTATATACAGCTAAAACCTGTACAACATCCATTCAACAACTAGTTCAAATAACAAATAATATATACAACATAGCACGTATTTTTATAAACATACTTCATATCTATGTGTTAGAAGAAAACGAATATACACTCACTTGATCAGAAGATGATCGGACAACACTACGGCTCTAAGAGTAGTGTTCTTCGGTGAAACCGGGAGATCTTCACACACCGGGCTTCTCGCGGGCAGGGCTTCGGCTCGGAAACTCTTTTCTTTTCAGAATCTTCGGTGCTTCGGGACTCGCTTCGGGTCTCGGGATGATACCGGGGCTTCGGGGGGTTAAAATAGGGCTTAGAGAGAGTATCGGGAGTGAGAGAGAAGGGATAGAGCAACCAAAATCGGCTGACCCTCGATTTCTATTTATAGGGCCAACATCCGGGATTCACGTCGTGAGTTTCCGATGCTCACGTCGTGAGCCTAGTAGGTCACTGCGTTCGTCACTCATCCACTTGTTGTGGAAGACATCCATCACTTGCTCACGTCGTAAACAATGTGCTCACGTCGTGAGCTCCGACACAGCCTCGAATTTTGTGTTACGAACTTCAGAAATTCATATCTTTCGCATACGAGCTCCGTTTTCGACGTTCTTTATATCCACGCGTAGGTGAGATCATGCTCTATAACTCTCGTGTGGACTCCGTTGGCTAATTTTGATTTATTTTTATTATATTATTTTTAGTAGGCCGGGACAGGAAAACTCCGTTAGAAAATCATATCTTCTTCATCTGACATCTGTTTTCGTCTGTCTTTTCACCATTGGACTACTATCGACGAGATCTTCGATTCTCGTTTAGATTGTTTCGGCTAGAAATCACTCGATCTCAAAATCGAACTTCGGGCTGCATACTGCTAAGCTGAAACTTAGAAAAATCATAACTTCCTCATACGAAGTCAGATTTAGACGTTCTTTCTATGCACGCTGTCGGTTTAACGTATTCTACGACTTTCGTTTAGATCACTAAGGCTAAATATCGCTCTATCTTAAATTCATATTTTACGTCATTCAGCGTCGTGCCGGTTTTGTCGCAAAACTTCGACAAGTCATAACTTCTTCGTTATAACTCGGATTTCGGCATTCTTTATATATTCGGAAACCTTGTCACGACCACTTCGTCTTCATGTATCGATATCGGTTCTATCTAACATTTTATTTTTACGCTTATTTTTATTCTTAATTCAATCAGCACAAAATTAAACATAAAACACATAATACTCAAATAATACATTCTTATTATTTCAAAATGAGTTACAAAGGTTAACATAGACTATTACATCAACATTAATGCCTAGCCCAGAAGCACGGGCGTTACACTGGTGAATACTACAGCTCCCCGTAGCATCACAACAACCTCTCGCTGACTGGTGAATACTACGGCTCCCCGCAGCATCACAACAACCTTTCACTAACTTGTGAGTACTACGGCTCCCCGCAGCATCAACAACCTCTCGTTGACTGGTGAATACTACGGATCCCCGTAGCATCACAACAACCTCTCGCTGACTGGTGAATACTACGGCTCCCCGTAGCATCACAACAACCTCTCGCTGACTGGTGAATACTACGGCTCCCCGT